ACATTGTTCGCGAAAGACGATCCGATTTGAAGGCCCTGAAGTGAAAGTCTTGTTTCGCCTGTGAAAAGGGAGGCCACAGCCAATGGGGTGGGTGAGTACGTGCCTTTCTATAGGACTAGATTGCTTTCACCATTGCGGAGGGGGCACCTGGAGTCAGGTGCAGTTCCTGGTGCCCAGTGGGTGACTCTTCACTCCCTGGGGCCCGCTGCAGCCGAGGACAAGCGGTGTCCACTCTGGGGCCTCCCTGGGTGGAAATAGGGGCTGTTTGGGGGCTGTTCCTGGGGGGGGGAAACATTTGCATCCTTCCCCCCTCCCTGAGCAAGCGCCCTTCAGCCCTCCGCCCCTCTTTGCCCTTTTGGTGAGCAGCAGCAGCACCAAAACAAAGGACTTGCCAGCAGAAGCCGAGAACAAGACGTCCTCCATGCTAACAAGGGACGGGTTGCATAACTTGGCAGCAGCTCCTTGCCAGGATTGCAGCAGCCTCTGGATGGCACCCAGGGGTGGGGCAGGCACTCCCCGGCCTACAGACTCCCCGAGCCCAGCCAAGGCAGGCACGCGACTCCCTCTGTCCCTCTCAAAATACCCCAAGGGCGCTGCACGGATTGCCACTGTGCCAGGTGCGGAGACCGTTCAGATCCCTCGACGCACCCGCAAGAGCCAACGGGGGGTGGGGGGCGAATGGCCCCGGAAGGAGGCTACAAGGGCTGTTTGGATGCTGGTCCTCCTTGGTCACCCAGCCAGCCACTAGATTCTGCAGAATGCCCAGGAAGGGTGGCAGGTGGTCAGAGCATGCAAGGGCTGTTTTTCTCTGCTGTCTGTAGCCACTGAGGCTGCTCTGGGCCTCTGGAGAGTGGGGAAAAACTCTAGCGCTCTCTCTCTCCCTCCCTCCCTTCCTCTGTGTCCGTCCGTCCGACCTTCTTCCTGCAGTTGGAAGGACCATGTCAAAGCCACCTCCATGCCGGTGATGTAGGAGAGAAGGAAACGTCCTTTTCTGTGTCCCAAACACGGTTCTGGTGAACCAACCTTCAGATGAAGCTGGGCTTGGCGGACGCTCTGCGAGGCTCACTCTTCCACACCCTGGCTTTTTCCTTCAGGACTGCCCGACAGCAATCCTGACAAGTGCACTAGGCTAGGGGTGCCTGGTACCGGGATCCGGGACCGGCCAGGAGACTCATGGCTGAAGGCCATTGCAGCCTGGCATTCTTGAGCTAATGGGACGGGTCAGTGCTACCCGAGGAAGGTGCTTAACCTGGTCTCAAGGATGCGGGGGGGGGGAGGCGATGCTGAGGAAGGGTCTGCCATCCCTTCACCCACCTCTGCCAACCTTCTCAGATGGGAACAGAGCTCTGCAAAGCCCCACTTTGCGCCAAGACAGGGAATTTGCCAGAGAACGGCTTCCCAGGGACAGTTTCCAAACCGCAAGGCGGGCGGAATGCAGGGGCCTGTTATGTAACCTCTTGAAACGGGACGTGGTTGGGGAGACAAGCCAAGGCTGCAAGCTTGGACCTTGTGGGGTGCTCCACACTCCGCCGCCCCCCCCCCCGCCTCCGGAGTCGTCTTACATAACAGCGTGGAACCGAGAACATTTTTCTGTGTTGTCGTCAATTTGTTTTGTTCTGGGCTGAGGCACAACCCTCCTCCCTCCCGCCCTCCACTTCCCCTATTTCTGCTTTCCTTGACGTCAGCGCGGGGGTCCCGCCTCTCTGTGCTCCCTGAAGCCTTGGGGAACCCTGAAAGTACCAGAGCTGGAGGAAGTGGCGGAGCATGGAAGGAGGGGCAGCCCGAGGCAGGCTGGGGGGGGCTATTGCCTGCACCTGAGCACTTAAACGCACGGCACCCCTGGTGCAGAAAGAGGGCTCGGGCTCTGCCTCTGGATGAGGAGGAGGGAGGGGGGCCTTGCAGTGTAGCCTCTCTCAGACCGGCGTTCCAACCTTTCCAGGATGGGAAAATCAAAACCAAGGTTACTTTTTAACCCGGTCCATGTGTCCAGTGAGGTCAATAGCTCCCTTGAGGTACTGCCAAAGCTGCAGGCTTCCACTTGGGAGAGAAATGGGTCTGGGGGAAAAGCACCTGCTTCTGGACCACCGTCTCTTTCCAGGGGTCTGTCTCATGACTGAACCCCTTTCTGGAGGCAGAGCCAACAGTAGATGTTGTCTCCTCTCTACCCAATCTCTTCCAGAGGTGCCTTTGCTGTGCATCAACTTCCCCTTTGCAGCTCTACTGTAACCTCAGAGCGGTGGTGTGTGTGTGTTGTGATGTGTGTGTGTCCCTGAGCCTTAAGGCACCCCTAAATCTCCTGCAGCCCTGGACATGGCACACAAGGCTTCAGCTGCATTTCAGAAAGTGCCCATGGGGGTGAAAGGTCAAGGGGCCCGAGGTCCGTCAATGAGAGTCTAGAGCTGCCCTTCTGCCCCTCCCCCCCAGAGGAGGCGGAGATCTTCTTCTGCCCACTTACACACCGCCTTTGGGGGGGGGGGGAAGATGCTGAGAAATGTGCAGTCTTGCCCGCTTGCATCCCTGGGTTTGAGAAGCAACCGGTTATCAAAACAGCTACCATTCATAATTTGCTGTGAGGTTCTGAGACCCACCTATAAGGAGGACCGTGTGCCCACCGGACACTTCAGGCAGGTTACTAAAATGAGTTCAGTCCCCGACTGCCACAACAGCTCCCCCCAAAGACCCCTCCCCATGTATACAGGGCTTGACATGACCAGCACACCCCCCCCCACACCCCTCATCCACCAAAGGCCGCATGCAGAGGGAGGAGCCTTTTCTGAACGTTTTTCACTTCCTGGGTTTGCGTATTGCAGTCTTTGGAGTCCTCCTGCCGGCCGGCCTGGGAGTGAACAGAATGCACCCAGGCTCCTTGGCGGGACCGACACACACACACACACACACACACACACACACACCAGGGAGCATCTGGAAACCCTCCTCCTGGGCTGCCGCCTGGTTTGCAGGGATTCCCTCATACGGCAAGCGGGCAGCAGCAGCGTCGTCCCCTGGCAGAAGGCCTCCAGCTCCCGGACTCCGAGCATGAAGCCAGGGGTGGGGAAGACAGGCAGCTGCATGACTCTCTGGGGAGCAGTGGGTCAGCTCCGGTCACTTGGGTGGGTAGTCCCAGTCTGACCCTCCTGCCTGAGTTTGAGTTTATTTCATTTGTATGCCGCCCTTTTCCCTGAAGGGACTCAGGGCAGCTCACAACTCGGCAAGGGAAAGGGAATACAGACCGTTGACAACAAGACAAAAAACAATACATATACATAATTAAAAAGCGCAACAATCATACCATTCGAGATAGGGGCAATGATTCTTTAACCCCAGGCCTGTCGGAACAGCCAGGTTT